CCCCGCCCCTCACGCCCCCCCCCCCCCAAGCCCCCCCCCCCCCATACTACACAGTACTCATATTTCACAATTTCCAGTCCACTTCAGTTTTGTTAAACTTAGAAAAACAGTCGATTCTTCAGGTACGAACTCCTCACTTGAAACTGGTAATTACTTATTCATTGAATCTATTTCTAACAAAGAGTGCTCCGTGGCCATTCCTGAGAACCTGCATTGCAGCAAGAATCGCCACTCTCAACATCAAGTATCATCATACAGAAAACCAACTCCCATTTCAATACCAAAGACAAAACTCCCATAGCCAAAATGAAGTACGACTTCCGAGACCTCGATTATCTATGGTCAAACTAAATACAATCTAAATATCTTCCAAAGCATACCCCGTCCTAGAAGATTCGTTTCCAGATTTTAAAAACCTGACTTCGGATTCGGATTTCCCGACCCCGATAACCTTAAGGAAAGTTAGATGAAAAGACGGTTAAATTTAAAACGAAGGAAAGCGCGTATGATGTTTTTTGACCTGCCACAAACAGACAGACAGACAAACGCATTTTTTTTCATATGACCCTACCTACAGTCGAGGGAAAAACAAATTATAATACGATTTACTATAAACGTTTAGAAGATTTTCATCATGAGGGAATTATGGCAATGTTTAATAAACTGAAATCATGTGATAAAAATATTATTGCTAATTATGAAACATTATTGTATGATACAGTTTCTGCTGAAATTTATCTTTTATGTGACTATCTTTTTATTAAAATCGATATTTTAATTCTTTTTTTATGGTGGTAAACAGTTTTTGCTTTTGAAAATATTTGTGTCATTTTGTTTTATATTTTCGCCGATTGGCGATGGGTTTTGTTTTGTTCGATCTTTCTGTTGCTCTTGCATTTATCCACACAGCGAATGCCGATGCACCTGCAAAAGAGATCAACCTCATCATTACCACACAAACGACGATTCCAAAAATTTCAGCTGCCAAGGTCCATCATTCAGACCGTCTGAAAGATGATATTAAACTGCCTGAAACGGTTAAGAAACGGCGCAAATAATGCCCTAAACGGTGAAAAACGACAGCCGTTTTTAGCCGTTTACAGATGTTCTATTGGACATGGCTGGTGATAATTCATGCGGTTCTTTTATTCGATAATATGTCCTAATAATAATATCATTGTTATTCAAATTACATTGATAGACATAATAAATAATCAATGACGAAATCAAGATCGTAAGCATCAAAATTACCAAAATGAACATACACGTCTACGTACTATTAGTATTTCTTGTTGGTGCATTTCGTCTTTCGTCTTTGCTATTGTCATCTTCACTTTTTGCTGAATTTTTCGTAATTTTATTTATCTGAAAAATTTTTTAATTTCATAATTCCCTCTCAAAGAATTCTGTAAAACACTTGGTCTAGATTATAAAACAAATTATGTCTTTTCAAAGTAGGTATCTATAGTACGAACAACGATTACCCATGGAAATTTTCGTCGATTAGATTTTATACGTTGTTTTAGAAATGAATATCATTTATCATTAAAATTAATAAGACTTGATTATTAGGATAATGATTTAATAGGGGTTGGTGGAAAACGTCGAAAAGGAAAACGCCGAAAATAAAGTAGGAAAGGAAAACACCGAAAATAAAGTAGGAAAGGAAAACACCGAAAATAAAGTAGGAAAGGAAAACACCGAAAAGGAAAATGTCCAAACACAAAAAGAGAAAAGAGGAAAATGCCGAAAAGGAAAACATCGAAATCTAGAAACAAAGAGAAAATTCGAATTCTTTAAAGATGTCAGGGACGATATAAACTGCTATTGCCTTTTCTCATCGTGATTGGTCATTTGTTGATCTAGCGCAAGGATACTATTTATTTAACACTAATCTTTGTACACAAAAATATATTGCGTAAAAATGGATTTAGAGAATAATTCTATGAAAAATCAGCACTCTGATTTGTTGTTTGGTACGTCTAATAAAGGAAAACCAATAATAATATATAAAAATTACTTTTTCAAATGCAATAAGACTACTGAATCAAAAAAATATTGGGTTTGCAATGAGAAAGCATGTGGTGTGTACGTACATACGAACATCAATGGTGAATTTATCTGTATCAAAGGTGATCACAATCATAGTTCTAATCCAGATGAAGTAACTGTTAAGCTGCTACGAGACAAAATGAAAGAAAGAATACTTGCTGAAACCACCTCTCTAACCAAAATATATGATGAAGAAATTGTGAAAGCGAATATTTCAAAAGGAGCAACAGCTTTGAAACCAACTGTAGTTGAATTTAGAAAGTAATAGTTATATCTATTAAACATCACAATTTTTCTATTATTAAGGGTCAAATATGAGTAAAGCAAGACGAAAGAAAACACCTGTAATTCCATCGACTTTTATGTTTGAAATTCCTGATTTATATCAATCAACATTAACAGAAAAACGTTTTTTATTGATAGATATTTTCCTTAAACGAGGTCAAGATCGTATTTTAATTTTTTGCGAGTGATCAATAATTAAAACTACTATACGAAAGTAGTACAATTTTTATGGACGGAACCTTTGATATTGCACCTGCTCTTTTTAAACAAGTTTACTTGATACATGCCGAAAAATTTGGTCAAGGTATATCTTAAAAACACATGATATTTTGAATTTTCGAAATGATTCAATTTTGTTGAAGGACTGCCCGTTGCATTTTGTCTCTTGCCAAATAAACGTGGTAGAACATACCTGGAATTATTTGAACGACCCAGGTCAAAGTTGCGCAATAGGATCCTATCGGAACCTTAAACAATCCGAGAATATCCGACTATCGGCGGCTGGTCGGATCCGACAGTCGGAATCCAATTTAATCCTTTTATTTCCGATAATTTCCGACAATCGGATACTCCAGGATTCCGTTAATAGGATCCATTGCAATCCGATAGCTGGGAAATTAGTGGATCCGACAGAATCCAATAAGTTGTATTGTTATATGCTACCTTAAGATGAATATCGAAAAAGAAATTCGGTTAATTTCAGAGTTACGGAAATTTTCTTGATTCTCTAATTAAAAATTGCTCAATTACTGAAATATTAAGAAATGGTACTTCGATAATTGAATGATAAAAAACGGATATTTTTAAAATTCAATGAGAAAATGAACATTTTTTTATTAACTTATTTGTATGATTTTTATTAAAAATCAAAGTAATTACATAAGTGTGGTAAAAAGGCAGATTTTAATGAATAACATGCAAAAAAATCTTTTCGACAATTTAATCATGGGAAATTGATTTTATTCGTGTTTCTGAAAGAAATCATTTAAGGCAGGATTCCTAACTCAAGAAATTATTTTTTTATTTTTCAAGATCACAGATGAATCGAATTCTACAAAGTTATATATACATGTGCATCTTAATAGTAAGAATACACTTTAACGATCGACGCGACATCTGTTAACAGTGTTTTCTGTTTGGTGAAGCACATGAATAATAGGCTAAGTAGACAAAAGTATGTACAGGCTATTCAGTCGATTAACATGATTTCAAAATTTAGAAAGGTCCGACGTCCTTTATGAATAAAGTTTCTATCATCATATATTCACCGATATCAATGCACATTACTTCATGCTTATTATTAAGTCACTGATTCCAAAATGTCTTCATCTTTAAAAGAATGACTTTGTACTTCTATTCATTTCAGATTGTTTGAATCTATATGTAATCGGTCTATTTTAGTATGAGATAATAGATTCATTGTTTTTCTTACGTAAGTTTCTTTTTTGCTCATTACATGTACTCATGATATTATCTATTTTAGATTCATATTTTGCCGAAATCGTGGGAAAATATATAGTTTATTTGTGCAATTGTCTCACTTCTTTTGTATTTATTCAATTTCATTGAATATGGTAAGTTCCTTTTACATAGGCAATTTTTTTTACTTTGAGTGACTTTAAAATTCAAAAGTACATGTTAAAGAGAAAATAATGTTAACATGAAAAATTGACGAAACGGCACTTTTTTGTTTTCATTAGATTGGAATATATTTTTAGAAATCAACGACATATTAACTGCACTAGCTAGATGCTGATCTAAAAAATATATTCTTCCTTATGACCTATATATATATTATTTTTTCACAGTGATATTGATCTACAAGATGCTGTTGAATTGGTAAATAAAAAGTATCAATTTCATTTGAAGAAGAACAGAGAAAAATCTCATTTTCGAAATATAAAATTCGAAATAAACTTTTCTCAAAGTACTGCCTCATCTTTTGATTCATCGTCCAAACAATGTGTCCACGTGATGTTCCTTCATTTATTGAACTTGCACTTGAAATTCAAAGAATCAAGTATTATCTATGTTACAATTAAAAATTTATTTATTTAAAAAAAAGAAAAATTTGTCTGGTATGTTATAATGATATATGTGGAGATGTATGTATTTGTCATAATTGTCCAACATCAGATGATTCTAATATTACGATTATTAATGATTCTGATTTAATGTCTATTTATTTATCATTATCGGAAAAATTGTACATAATCATGGTTTATGGTCAACGAACTGAAGCCAGAGAGGTTAGTTAAATCTTTCATAAGTGAAAATAGTTTAAATTATTCGAGATACTAGCGATCATGTTTCTGGTTGAATTCTGTTAAAAAACGTATGAATTTATTGAACCAGCTATCATGAGGAATTTTTGGTTAGATTAGTGAGGCTTTCGAATTTTAACAAATGCTATGGAACCCAGATGAAATTACCGATTATCCGAGTCCGTTGATACTATTGATTAAAGTGATGAGTATGTTATATAAAATTTTCTTTCAATATTACTCTAAGAAAGTTGTATCGAAAATTGAAGTTGAGATCAGTTATTTCGAATCCATAGAACTAATACTTGTCTTGAAAGAAAAAATAACTGTCTTTTCATCTTGTCTAATATATACCTTCTGACCGGATAAATAGATAGCATCAATTTTTAAAAGTTTTGTTTTTTATAAAAATGAATTTTATGATCGATATCGAAAGAAATTTATCTTGTTTTATCTCTAGGTGCACGTGAAGAATGTCGACGTGTGTGAAGAAACAAAGAAGAAATTCAAAAGTTGAAAGTTCTCATGCACAACATTTTTGTCAAACTCAAAGAATAATCATTTTATACCTTGATCCACAACATGTTCTGATATTGAAGACGAGATGTACGTTTAAATGAATATGACGAAGAACCAACAGAAATTCTTACTTGCTTTTCAGGTAAATAAATAGTTTTTGCATGTTTAAAAAGTAAATGTTTACAAAAATGAATGCTTTCCTAACTTCTTTTAGTGTTTCGTAGTGGCGGTAAAGGATGTATAGCAATCGTATTTTTTTCTGACTTATATTGGATGAAAAAGAAAACGGATTAAAAAAATAGTGATGAATTGCACAAACAATCTTGCATGAGAGAAACATTATTCTATTTTTTTATGTGAAAAGTTCTTTCAATGATTTATATTTTGTCTTTGACTTTTCTGTGTTATTTTTTTGTATAAATGAACAGATGTTTTAAATGAATAAAGCAAAAGAACCGCAAGCGGTGAAGAAAACAGTAACATTTTTAGCATCATACTAATTTATGGTTTATAATTTGAGAAATAAAAATCTCTCTACTCAAAAATTGATCCTAAGAGAAATACTGGGAGTGATCACTCAAATAAGAAAAACCTGTTGGATCTTGTTGTTTCCTAAATATTCCGATTGTCGGATCTGGCTCTTGGAAATCGTCGGATCCAACACCCAGCAACTTCCTGTCGGAATCCTGTGCCAAGGAATCCAACAACTTCCGACAGGATACTGTCGGAAGTNCTAAATGATGATGATGTTAAAATGTAAATATAAAATGGCATAGCTGTATTTAAATACATGATAAATGATTGTGTAATATAATTTATAAATGATTCAATTTGCTGTTGTTCTAGACTTTTTGTAAAACTATCTGTTATAATTTTGTAAATAAGATAAATTGAAAATGGCATTGTGCTCACAACATAAATCATAACTTCAACAAAAATCATTTTCATTAAGTTTCTATCACGTTTTCGAAGCATAATATTTGATTGTTTATTTTCTGCATTATCTCTTATTGGTTGAATACGACCTCGCAAACCCTTCAAATTTCGAATTAATAATGTATTGAAAAATACAATCAATAATGGAGGAAACAGTCCAGCTGATAGTATGTAATAAATTGTATAAATCATTAAATAAATTCCATTTTGTATATTGCACGAACCATTTTGAATTGTTCGGGCATAACTAAAAAAGATCACTGCCAGCAACCAAAACAAAGCAGAAGTTATTATTAAATGAATAGCCATTTTATATGTATTCAATGAACGAATACGAACACTCATACTAGAAATAGCAAAACGATTCATGCATGCAAGAACTTTATATGTACGCATCATTTGAAAAAAAGCATGTCGAATATAAAACTGTAATTGACAAAAAATTATGGACTGAGTAGATATATCAACATGGTCTAATGAAAATATCATTGGAATTATTCCAACATCAAGACAAATTAAATTACATATTGTCATCGATAATAAATAAAGTAAACAAGGATTTTTCCATGGTTCACATTGGCAAAAAGCAGCAATAGTTAATAAATTACCCAAATTTCCAAATGCTACATATGTGCTCATACCATATCGTGTAAACATTTGCTGAATAAATGGTAGGTCAGGTACAGAAGTTGTCATTTATAATGGTTGATTCTTCACAAGATTTCTTTTATGAGATGAAAAAAAATGATAAGCAGAATTTATGTGCCTTTTACTTATAAAAAAATGAGCTGATAGATTAACAGTATGGTTTTATCCTAAACTTACATTATCGACATGAAGGTCGCAGAAATAGTAAGAGTTCATTGGAATCCACAAGAAAAATCATCGAATTCGGGAGAAAAGCAACTGGAAAAGACGAAAGTTGAAATTAGTATTTTGATCGGAAAATTCGCGACTTTTTCTAGTGGTCTACAGTTTTCTTGGCGTAAGCCATGGAAAAGTTGACTGGAGTTCACTGAAGAACAAATTCAAACATTTTCCAATCGAAACACCACTTCCACCTTTCGTCTTTTCCCGCTACGTTTCTGTTGGAATCTGTACGATTGATCTGGAGATATAATATCGATGATGAGACTTTCGGTAATCTGACTGACGGCCAAGATTAATTTCATTTATCAAAGCTACACCATGGGTTTTAATTAGTGGTTGGTAAAGGGTGTTCCAGAAGTTCTGAAATGATTTTAAGAATTCACCGTTCTCACATTCTACAAAAGCAAATTCGCTGAAACTTTGGTAGATTATTGTATATATGTGGTACCACATTACTGAAAAGTTTCAGGTCTATAGCTTATACTATAGATGAGAGCCTAGAACAGCACTGTCATGTATTATTTTCGAAATTTTTCTGTATTGTTTGTCTGCCAAAATGTCTATGTCTCAGGCTAGGTAGATGATAAAATCTTGATATTTTCTTTTATAAGATGCGCCGTGTAAAGCTCTACAAAAATTGTAATAACAAATCCCTATTGACTTGTTTTCATACTCAAAATGAAAAAACTACATGATAGCACGACTTCTCACCATATTGTGCGTAATAAAGAAAAGGTTTGCAAGACCTTTTTGTTTTGCATGTAACTCGGCTTGAAAAAATAATAAAACTTTGATTGCTTTTGATAAGATGCGCTGTCGAAAGCTCTACAAAACCTGTATAAACAAATTCCTATTGGAAAACAAAAAAGTCCTCTAAACCTTTTTTTATAATGGTGAGAAGTCGTACTATCAAGTAGTTTTTTCATTTTGAATATGGCAAAGGCCATTAACACAAGTCAGTAAGGATTTGTTATTACAATTTTTCTAGAGCTTGTCACGGCGCATCTTATTTTAAAAAATCAAGATTTTATCATCTACCTAGCCTGACACATAGACGAAATAAAGTAAAATGTTTCACACCCGAAGATGACCAGGAAAATTTAAAACATAATACATGTCAGCGTTGCTACAGTTTATCATCCATAGTACAGTGTATTGATCTCAAACTTTGCAGTTATGTAGTACCACATATGTACAACAATCTACCAAAGTTTCAGCGAATTTGCTTTTGTAGAATGCGAGAATGATGAATTCTTAAAATCGTTGCAGAACTTCTGGGACACTCTTTAGGTTTAGTTCTATAAACTGTCTCCAATTATAATCATTGAAACCTTTCAACTATGTAGTCAAAGAAATTGACCACGTTAATGCTTCACTTGGATAAGAAATCAAGTAAATAATTTGGTTGAAAGATGAATGTCAGAAATAAATGTCATCGAAAGATATTTGATAATCTAGATTTCGGTGACTTGTATATCGAAAATTCCCCTTTTCTATAACATGAATTTTAGTGTGAGTTTCAGTAATCAGATATACAATCGCAGGAAACTCAGTACGAGTCTCACGAATATGTTATGCAGAATGTGTTAAATATTTCGTACGAGTTTTTTTTCTCAATGCTAGTAACATGTCCTTCGTGACATTCGATATCTTCATCCAACATATTGTTTCATTTTTTTTGCATCACACATTAGTCAATGGATTTTGTGTATTTTTCCAATATCTCGAACGTGCTCTTACCATGGAAATAAAGTTGCAGCATGAAATATTATTTGTTTTATGAATAAATTAATATTAAAACATTCTTACACAAAAATAAGAAGAGATCATTTAAAGAGAGAAAAAAATATGCTAATATGAAACCATAAAAGACCATTGATAAGGAATATTTTTGCAAAGATACATATTTTCTGGGCCAATGAGCAAACAAAGTAGGAGTAGCTAACTAATTCGAGAACAATGAAATGTTTACTTAAAATGAAGCGAATATTTCGTTATTTATCATAAACAAACGACAATCTCTTCAAAGTTGTCATGAACGACACTAATGCCACATTAAGTCATAATAATATGACGCATTTACAAAATATATATTATTTTTAATCGAGTAAGATTTCTGCCATTCATAGCTATTTAAAGCTGTAAACTGTTAGTGAAAGTACGAACGCTGTGAAATGGTTTATATACCTCTTAAATGTTTCGTGGCTATATTCAAAATTTCGAGGAACTAGCTGAAGTTTAATAGATCTGTTTAAATATGATATATTTATCAAAGCATTTATTCGTGAACTGTTTATTTTAGCAGCATGTAGCAAAAGTTCCAGACACTATAACTCCCGAATGATTTTGATTCTTAGATGAAATTCGATGTAGCTTTACTATTAAATTCTAAAAAGAGAAATATTAACAACAACAAAATAAAAGACTATTTGGGCCTATGCGAAAGTTTTTTGCCTGGGAACACATCTGAAACGCGCTTTATTTGTGTGCGGAACACGAAGAACGAACGCGTTGCAATGCGTTCGTACTTTGAGTTGCGGTCGAACGCGTTTCTTAACGAAAACGCATCTACAGTGAAGCATTCGAAGCGTCTCAACGCGTTTCATACAAAATATAATAATTTAGAAAAAGTAAAATTACAATGGACAACTCTGCAAACGAGATGTACAATGGCCCACCTGCCCCTCCCCTGGTTAAGACACTCAATCTATGTAAGAAAGTAAAAGTTTGACAAAAGATATGCAGTTTTCATTGAAATTCTTTTCAAAAATCATTAAAAACTGGGCCTCAAATGAATTTTCTTTAAATTTAAGATTAATATTTCATATTTTTCAATTAACTAAAATATATAATTTAATCAAGAAGAAAAAAAGGAATATATTGACATTTATTCTGTGGCAAATGTTCTAAATTTGTCATTTTCTACAACACACTCAATTGTATGAAATAACGAAGATATTTTATGAATATCATCTAAATCATAAATTCGTTCATTTTTCGTCAAAATTTCTTTAATAAAACAATCGAATTGAGATAAAAGATGTAATCGATAAATAATATTTTTAGCTAATTCAATAAATGGTATTTGACATGTTGTTTGCACATATAAATGTGTTACATAAGGTATATAAGTAAGAAGAGCATCAATTTGATTTAATTTTAATTCTATATCATCAGACCATAAAGTAAATCTTTTAAGTTGATGTTTAAATGATGACGAACAAATATGAATATTATTGAAATTATTTAAAATATGAATTTGAAAATATTTTAAATTAGGACTAGCTTCAAGAATATTTTCAATAATCATTAATTGATCACAACGAATAAATAAAATTTCCAGTGAATATGTTATTGACCACGATTTAATAAATGGTTTATCTATATGACCTAAATTAACATATCGGATATATGGAAATCTATTAGAAAATATATCATCGATCAGCTCAACTGGAACTTTAAAATCAGGTTTTAATAAAAATAATAAATTAACAAGATTTGGCAATGTTTTGGGTCGAATCTGTTTAATATGATTTAAATTTCTATTATATATTATTAATGAATGTAAATTAAAAAACTGAGCTAAATCACATTCATTTGATGTATCAATTATTAAATGAACTAGTTGAAATTTATAAGATTCCATTAATAATCGATCAGGCTTTTCATCAAAAATCAATGTTAAATTATTTGAAGATCGAATGAGGCTATTCAATCGACTATTGAGATCGATAAAACTACAATGTATATGTTCAAGTGTTAAATAGTTTAATATATCAAATATGATTTCATTTGGAAGATCTTCAAAGCGAGTTATTTCAACTGAAAAACAAAACATATCTATAGAATAAATATTAATTAAATTAATTAAAAACTTTAACTGATTTGCATACACTTTTCCCAAACACTATTTATATTTACTTTTTGTTAAACATACGTGCATAAAATTACTTCTCAATTTAGAATATAAATATTTTTTTAATTAAAAAAATTGAGAAAAGATTCGATTTTTAGATAATTTTGATTCGATAACAAACAAATTTATTTAGATGATAAAAGTCATACCTAAAATGTTTTTCTCCGATGGAATTCTAGTGTGTTGATTTATTTTAGCTATTGATTTGTTATAATCCAATATTCTATCAATATTCTCATTATGAAATTGATGGATACAGTGATAACGAAAATGTTCACATTGATCTTGTGAACCTAAAAATTACGATGATTGTGTGTATAAATAAATAATAATATTAAAGAGTTGACCTTTAAATTTGATTTGTCCACTATGAAATTTTCCTTGATTTTCTATTAAATAAATATCATTGACTTGTCTCAAATCTGATGATTCAGTTACTGTACACATAAGATTATTAGTTTCCATTTGTACAACAACAAATTTTTCTCTCATACTTATATTTAATGGTGTTGATATTTCTAGGTTCGATACTAAAATGAGAAAAACAAAATTAGCTTAAAAGAAGATAGTAAATATAAAATTACATGATAGATCAAATGCTGGTTCTAAAAATTGAACAGTAGAGAGATTAGCATGTATATTTATATTATTCAATTTATAATGTTGATATGTTGCTGGACTACAAACAAGTATTTGAATAGGGCGATAGCATTCCTTTTTAAATCGTTCCGCTATTTTTTCAGGTGTTTCTTGTTCAATATTAATGCCATTGAAAGAAATCAATCGATCGAAATTTCTCATGCCCGATCGATAAGCAAGACTTGTTTGAGAACCAGTCGATAATCTTATATAATGAAAATGATCTCTTTTGTGATAGAATTGATTAATTCCAATTAATTCATCGAATCTTAAACGTTGTATTGTACATAATCGAATATCATCTTTTTCATATTTTATATTTATAGTTTCATCAATAGTTCCATCATCTAAATTTGAATTCATTTCAATAAGAATAAAACGTATAAATACGAATATATACACACCATAATTTTGCTCGAACCATGTTTTTAATGATTTAGGTGGATTTATTCCCCATCCAAACATGGAACATATACGTTGTTGATCATCACGATATTGAATAATATTACCGAATTCAATAGAATTTAATGTTTTTCCTATTGGTTGACTTTTAATATGTTTAATTTTATCGAAAGAAACGAGAATATAATACCAAACAGGTATTCCTTCATATTTTCCTCGGATAATAAACGGAGTATCAAGCCATGTTTGTTTTGTCAGTCCTATTTTAGGTTTACTTTCATTTGATTTCAATGATGCCTGAAAAAAAATTTGTTTAAAAATCTTTTTTTATCGTTTTTTTTCTTCTCAGCTTTACTCGAAATTTGCCATAACAATCTGCCATGGATAAAATTAAAGTGATTTTAAAATATAAAGATAAAGATAGAAAATAAACTTAATTAGTTTATCAAAACAATGTTATATATACCCTTGATATTATAAAAAAAAAGCTGAGATCGATCAAGGTCTTTTTATCATTGCTTTTTCTTCTCTGTCAATAAGTAACAAATGATATTTGTGTTTCGATTATATTCATTCTAGTAAAATTTTTTTTGAGATTTTTCTAAAATGACAGTGATCTTGTTTGTCCTTGAATATATCCTACAATATATAATTCGCTTCACAATAATGATGTGGATTAAATAGGATTTCTTTAATTTACATATTGTACTATCGAATTTTCAAACAATTTCATTATATTTCTATTGTATCTGTTCAAATTTTCATTTTTTAAATCTCATTCATCATAGATTAATTCTTGTTTACGTTCCGTAATGAGTGATTAAATTTATTTTTATTTATCACCAATGAACAAGTCTAAAAACTGTGTTTCAATGTCAGCGAACGCTATAATATCTTTGCCAAAAATAGAAAAACAAAATGAAGCGACAGAGTTCTTTAAATTCAAGAGTCTATTAATAGAAATTCATAGAGAACCGTATGGGACAATCTTTTGTTGAATTTTTCAATGTTTTGTTTTAGCATATTTTTTGTATTATCATCAAAGTAAATCAGCATGAATAATTTTTAGCCTTATAATAAGCATTGACTTCATCATTGGAATTGATTTTTAGTTATTTTATGTATTTTATGAAACGAAAATTATCATAAACAAACTCGTATTGTCCTAATTCAAAAGAAAGTACATAATATATCACAACAAATTAATGAAAAATCATATCTATCTATATTTTGCGAATTTAATAGTAGAAACTACATAGTATTAAATTAATTGTAGATTTTAAATAGAATAAAAGAATTGAAAAATCTCGAATAAATAATTTTATTGTTAATAACACATGCAACTATGAAAACATTGAATTATGTAAATCATCTAATTCAACTTGTCTTTGTTTCAAACGTTCTTTTTGCTTTTTATATTGTTCATAATCTTGATCATCAGTTGGTAATTCAATTCTACACATTGGACATGAATTAACTAATTTAAGCCATTGTATTATACAATTTGTGCAATATTTATGATGACATGGCAATTCTTTTGTTGAATTCAATTGAAATTCTTTTAAACAAATTGAACATTTTTCATCGTGATCAAAACTATTTGTTGATTGCAAATTTTCAATAACATGTTTAGCCGCTGGTGGTTGTTTTCGACCATCAACATGACCAAAAATACGTTCAAATTCTAATTGAAATTCGGCCCCAATTCCACTATCCAATAATAGACGAGCTAAATCTAGCAAATGATTTGGTTGTTCTCCTGTTGCTAATGGTTCACAATTATGTTCATCAAAATATGATGCCATCTAAAAATATAAGATTTCTACTGCATCAATATGATGCTAGTGTATTTTGATTGTCATTGTCATTCAAAAGTAACAGTAGCACGTCATCAATTGAGTTAGCTGATGAAAATTTGCCATGACTAATGAATATTATCTCATGGTTAATAAAAGATCCAATTGATATTTAAGACATATGCGACATCTACGCAGTAGAAAAATTGTAATCAGTCAAGCATCTCTAATCGACTCTCCGCTACCATCCCCTAGGAAAATTGTCAGACTATTCCTAAAGACTTGATAATTCTTAAATACTTTCTCAGAGAATAGTCGTCTAGCGACGTGACGTGATAGTGAAGATGAACTATCTGTATGTTCAATTAAGGAAGTTTATTGAGATAAAATTTTGTATGATGATATCAGTATTTCAAATTAAACCTGCTTGTTACATGTAAACATACATCTCTCTCTCTCTCTCTCTCTCTCTGAACATATATACATTTATCTGCGTTTGTATATGTCACAGTTGACATGAGAATTTCAGTTGAGATTGGAATGCGCGAAATAAAATTATTTGAATTTCTTTTTTTTCCCTGCTCATGTTTCATAAAATAAAATATATTTAAAAGGAAAAAAGATTTTACTATTAAATTGAATCGAATGGATGAAAGAAATTATAGGTAAATGATTACCTTGTGTTTTATGTATAATAATAATAATAATAATAAAAAAATTTTGTTTTGTTTAAATTCTACAGGTATGAGTCATAATATAGTTAATCTCCTCTGAATCAATCATCAGATAGTATTACAAGGATGTTTAGTCAATTTTATATTTGATTTATAAAAGTTGTATAAATAAAAAAATTTATTTTTCTCAGATAAATTCA